TTTAGCAAACTAAGTTAAAGTTTAGATTTACAGTTAGGTCCATATATATTTGAACACGGGCACTTTTCATACTTTTGGCTCTGTTTGTCATCAGAATGAATTAAAATGAAACAATCCAAATGAATTTGAAGTGCAGACTTTCAGCTTTAATTCAAGGGGCTGAACGTAAATATCAAGTACAAATTTTAGGAACTTCAACCATTTTTATAGTAGCTCCATTTTCAGGGGCTCAAATGAAACTGGACAAATGAATATAATCATAAATAAAATGTTAATTTTTAATATTTTGTTGAGAATCCTTTACTGGCAATGACTGCCTGAAGTCTGGAACCCATGGACATTACCAAAGACTGGGTTTCCTCCTTTCTGATACTTTGCCAGGCTCTAACTGCAGCTGTCTTCAGTTGTTCTTTGTGAGTCTTTCTGACTTTGTTTTGCCTGCATGCTCAAATGGGTTGAGATCAGGTGATTGACTCGGCCCTTGCAGAATATTCCATTTCTTTTCCTTCAAAAGCTCCTGGGTTGCTTTTGCAGTATGTTTTGGATCATTGTCCATCTGTACTGTGAAGCGCCGTCCAATCAACTTTGCTGCATTTGGCTGAATCTAGGCTGACAGTATATCTCTAAACACTGAAGAATTCATACGGCTGCTTCTATCACATCATCAATAAACACCAATGACCCAGTGCCACTGGAAGCCATGCATGCCCATGCCATCACACTGCCTACACCATGTTTTTTTCAGATGACGTGTATTTTGGATTATGAGCTGTACCAAGCCTTCTCCACACTTTTTTCTTCCAGTTATTCTGGTAGAGATTAATCTTAGTTTCATCTGTCCAAAGAATGCTTTTCCAGAACTGGTTTGGCTTTTTTAGATGTTTTTTGTAAAAGTCTAATCTGGCTTTTCTATTCTTCAGGTTTATGAATGGTTTGCACCTTGTGTTGAACCCTCTGTATTTTCTCTTCTGAAGTCTTCTCTTGATTGTAGACTTTGACAATGATACGCCTACCTCCTGGAGAGTGTCCTTCACTTGTCTGGATGTTGTGAATGAGTTTTTCTTTACCATAAAGAGGATCCTGCGATCATCCACCACTGTTGTCTTCCGTGGACATCCATGCCTTTTTATGTTGCTGAGCTCACCAGTACGTTCTTCTTTCCTCAGAATGTACCAAACTGATGATTTGGTCACTCCTAATGTTGCTGCTATCTCACTGTTGGTTTAGTTTAATTTTTGAAGCCTTACAATGGCCTGTTTCACTTGCATGGACAGCTCCTTTCTAAACCCTTCCTCCAATTTGGATGTACATACCCTCAAACTAAACTTGAGAGTGTGCACTTTCAGCCCATATCCATTATATAACTATGGATTGAATATGTTTTGGTAACTACCTGAAAAAAATCTAAAATTGTGCCTGTGTCCAAATATATATGGACCTAACTGTATGTCTCAGGGGTAATTGGTGCAGGCTATTAGTAATTTCATGTCTTTTTCTGTCTCTCTGTTGTATCTATCTACTGCATTTGCTTTGTGTTGCCAAAAGGCTGCAAAGTTGTGTAAAAATTTCTAGTTCTTCAACAGGGAAGACCGGAAGATGCAGGTATACTCTCTGAGTGGGTAAAGCTGAATGGTTACAAGAAACCTCAGGTGCTCTTCTTTTTATACAGTACAGGATATAGGAAGGATAGTTATGGCAGTGGATACTGGGAAGTGAGGCATGTGCTGGGAGCGTTATATAACGGCCATAACACAGCACAAAGTTGGCACAAGAACATTGTGTTGTATAGTGGGCTTGTCTTAATATTACCCATTTCCACTTCAAATTGGCATAACACCTAAGTTTTATTTGTTTTTTGCATAGCAACATTTCGCTGCTTAATTTTACTGTTCTCTTTTTCTGAAAAATTCAAAACTGAAGTTTTTCCCTGCTATGCAGACAGGGCTGGGAAGTTAATGTTTTACCACAATTAACCCTGTCTGTACTGAGCTGGCAGATCTCTTTATCAGTCTGCCCTAGCAAAGTGTTAAAGATCTTGAAGAAACAAGGTTCCTGCACTGAACCTGACACTTGTAGCATGAACCAAATTAGCTAAGCAGATGGACGTGTTTCAGGGCTATCTGCAACACCCACGCCAGTTTCTCTTTTAGAGCGAAATAGAGAGTGACAGAGGGTCTGCTCTAAACCTACAAAAAGATTGCAGAAAGTTTTAGTATATAAAACTGCTACAGCTCCCTGCCAATCAGGACCAGTTGTGTGACCATCAAGGATCAGTCCTGAACATCTCCTCAGCTGGATCCCCTTCTAGAAACACCATACATTAGTTAGCAGCAAAATACCCAAGATTCCTCCAAGTATCTGGGGAGCCCTTCCCTCTTGCTTGCACCTCTACTTAGCCACATTGCTGGGTGCAGAAGTGTACCTAACTGTACTACACTGTATCTGTATAGACATACAACAGCTTGCCACAAACTGGGGGTCCACTTATAACTAGGTCGTGTAACAAGGCTGCAGTAGTATATACAAATGTGTATGCTGCTTCTGCATTATACAGCAATGCCCTCTAGTGGAGACATGCCTATTAACACCATTTTCTGCTTCTGTAATGTACAGCTGTGCCCTGCTTCAACAAGAATGGAGAGCAAGGCACAAACCATCAGGAGAGACTGTGGCCTGGTATTGGGGACTACTGAACAGGATGGCAAAATCCTGATATTTTGCTTCCTCAAGCTAAATCAATGGACTAAAAAAAAAAACCACTACTAAGGCCTCCTATGTAGTAAGCTATTCAACCATCTCCAACAGTCCTCAGTGATATGGTTTAACCACTTCACACCAAGGTCTATTCTGACATTTCTATCATACATTTTTTTTTGCTATAAAAATACTTAAAAATTATTAATAATAATTATATACAGTGAGGAAAAGAAGTATTTGAACACCCTCCTTCCCTCAGTCAGAGCACTGAAGATGGGTCGTGGCTGAGTCTTCCAACATGACATCGACTCGAAGCACACAGCCAGGATAACCAAGGAGTGGCTCCGTAAGAAGCATATCAAGGTTCTGGAGTGGCCTAGCCAGTCTCCAGACCTAAATCCAATAGAACATCTTTGGAGGGAGCTGAAACTCCGTGTTGCTCAGCGACAGCCCCGAAACCTGACAGATCTAGAGAAGATCTGTGTGGAGGAGTGGGCTAAAATCCCTGTTGCAGTGTGTGCAAACCTGGTCAAGAACTACAGGAAACGTTTGACTTCTGTAATTGCATACAAAGACTTCTGTACCAAATATTAACACTGATTTTCTCAGGTGTTCAAATACTTATGTTCAGCAGTGCAAGACAAATAAATTCTTTAAAAATCATACAATGTGATTTCCTGAATTTTTTTTTAATTCTGCCTCTCAGAGTTGGAATGCACCTACAATGTGAATTTCAGACCCCTCCATGATTTCTAAGTGGGAGAACTTGCAAAATCGCAGGGTGTTCAAATACTTCTGTTCCTCACTGTGTATATATATATATATATATATATATATATATATATATATATATATATATATATATATATATATACACATACACACACATATACATACACACACAGTGAAGGAAATAAGTATTTGATCCCCTGCTGATTTTGAATGTTTGCCCACTCACAAAGCAATGCTCAGTCTAAAAATCAAATGGTAGGCATACTACAACACAGAGAGACAGAATAGCAACAAAAAATTCAAAAGAAATGCATGTCTAACAAATTCTGCACTGATTTGCATGTTCATGAGAGAAATAAGTATTTGATCCCCTTCACAAAACATGACTTGGTACTTGGTGGCAAATCCCTTGTTGGCAATCACAGAGGTCAGACGTTTCCTGTAGTTGGCCACCAGGTTTGCACAGATCTTAGGAGGGATTTTGGCCCACTCCTTTTGGCTGATTCTCTCCAAGTCTTTAAGGTTTGGTGGCTGACGTTTGGCAACTCGAACTTTCAGCTCCGTCCACAGATTTTCAATCGGATTAAGGTCTGGAGACTGGCTAGCCCACTCCAGGATCTTAATGTGCTTCTTCTTAAGCCACTCCTTTGTTGCCTTGGCCGTGTGTTTTGGGTCATTGTCAAGCTGGAACATCCATCCATCCATGACCCATTTTCAATGCCCTGGCTGAGGGAAGAAGGTTCTCACCCAAGATTTGACGGTACCTTGCCCCGTCCATCGTCCCTTTGATGCGGTGCAGTTGTCCTATCCCCTTAGCAGAAAAAACACTCCCAATGCAGAATGTTTCCACCACCATGTTTGACAGTTGGGATGGTGTCCTTGGGGTCATAGGCAGCATTCCTCCTCCTCCAAACATGGCGAGTTGATGCCAAAGAGCTCGATTTTGGTCTCATCTGACCACAACACTTTCAACCAGTCCTCCTCTGCATCATTCAAATGTTCAGTGGCAAACTTCAGATGGGCCTGGACATGTGCTTTCTTGAGCAGAGGGACCTTGCGGGCACTGCAGGATTTCAATCCTTGTCAGCGTAGTGTGTTACCAAATGTTTTCTTGGTGACTGATCCCAGCTGCCTGGAGATCATTGACAAGATCCTCACGCATAGTTCTGGGATGATTTCTCACTGTTCTCATGATCATTGACACTCCACAAGGTGAGATCTTGCATGGTGCACCAGACCTAGGGAGACTGACAGTTGTTTTGTGTTTCTTCCATTTGCGAATGATTGTACCAACTGTTGTCACCTTCTCACCAACCTGCTTGGCGATAGTTTGGTAGCCCAGTCCAGCCTTGTGTAGGTCTACAATCTTGTCCCTGGCATCCTTGGACAGCTCTTTGGTCTTTGTCATGGTGATGAGATTAGCAGCACTCCCTTTAAGAGACTGCTTCTAATATCAGCGTGTTACCTGTATGAAAGACACCTGGTAGCCAGAAATCCTGCTGAACAATAGGGGATCAAATACTTATTTTCCTCATGAACATGCAAATCAGTGCATAATTTGTTAGACATGCATTTCTTTAAAAAAATTTTGTTGCTATTCTGTGCATATATATATATATATATATATATATATCTATATATATACACATACAGTTGTGTTCAAAATAATAGCAGTGTGTTGAAAAATAGTGAATAAAGCTCAAAATCCTTCTAATAGCTTTTATTTCCATACACACAAATGCATTGGGAACACTACACATTCTATTCCAAATCAAAACATGAAGAAAAATATATCAAATTTGTGTTGTTCCTCTAAGACAATTGAAGAAAAGTGAATATTAGACTGTTCAAAAAAATAGCAGTGTTTGTATTTTTATTTACAAACTTAAACATTCACTATATAAACTGAAAAATGTTTGTAGATTTTGCTTTCCTTTGAATCACTTAATTTTTAGTTGTATAAGCACTGTTTCTGAGAACTGCTGTACATCTGTGTTGCATGGAGTCAACCAACTTCTGGCACCTTTGAACAAGTATTCCAGCCCAGGATGATTGGACTACATTTCACAGTTCTTCTCTATTTCTTGGTTTTGCCTCAGAAACTGCATTTGATGTCCCCCCACAAGTTTTCTATTGGATTAAGATTCGGGATTGGTCTGGCCACTCCATAACGTCAATCTTGTTGGTCTGGAACCAAGGTGTTGCACGTTTACTGGTGTGTTTGGGGTTGTTGTCTTATTGGAACACCCATTTCAAGGGCATTTCCTCTTCAGCATAAGGCTGCATGACCTCTTCAAGTATTCTGCTGTATTCTAACTGATCCATGATCCCTGGTATGCGATAAATAGGCCCAACACCGTAGTATGAGAAACATCCCCATATCATGATGCTTGCGCAACCATGCTTCACTGTTTTCAGTGTACTGTGGCTTGAATTCAGTGTTTGGGGGTCGTCTGACAAACTGTCTCCGGCCACTAGACCCAAAAAGAACAATCTTACTTTCATCAGTCCACAAAATGTTGCGCCATTTCTCTTTAGGCCAGTCAATGTGCTCTTTGGCAAATTGTAACCTCTTCAGCAGATGTCTTTTTTTTCAACAGTGGGACTTTGCGGGGCTTCTTGCAGATAGCTTGGCTTCACATTGGCGTCTTCTAATTGTAACAGTACTCACAGGTAACTTTAGACCTTCTTTGATCTTCCTGGAGATGATTGTTGGCTGAGTCCTTGCCATTTTGGCTATTCTTCTATCCATTCGAATGGTAGTTTTTCGCTTTCTTCCTCGTCTTTCAGGTTTTGATTGCCATTTTAAAGCATTTGCGATCATTTTAGCTGAGCAGCCTATCATTATCTGCACTTCTTTATATGTTTTCCCCTCTCCAATCAATTTTTTAATCAAGGTATGCTGTTCTTCTGAACAATGTCTGGAACGACCCATTTTCCTCAGAATTTCAGAGAGAAATGCACTGTAACCAGCATGTACAACATTTGCTGCCTTCCTTCCTTAAATAAGGGCAATAATTGCCACCTGTTTTTCAAAGAATGAATGACCTCACTAATAGAACTCCACACTGCTAATATTTTGAACATGCCCCTTTCAATTAGTGATTCAATTACACAGAATCAGCAGCATACATGTCATGACTGTTGGGTCTGTTGGACTTCTATTACTCTACTACACCTGCTAGTAAATTATTTGCCATGTAGAAATACCATTTCTACCAAAAACAGTGATTGATCAGGTTAGTGATGTCTGACTGCTATTATTGTGAACACAACTGTGTGTGTGTGTGTGTGTGTGTGTATATATATATACATATATATATACACACACACATATATACATATATACACATATATACATACATACATACATACATACATACACACACACACATACACATATATATATATATATATATACACACACACACACACTATATTGCCAATCACATCCATGGCCACAGGTGTGTAAAATCAAGCACCTAGGCATGCACACTGCTTCTACAAACATTTGTGAAAGAATGGGATGCTCTCAGGAGCTCAGTGCATTCAAGCATGGTACCGTGATAATTTGCCACCTGTGCAATAAGTCCAACGGTGAAATTTCCTTGCTACTAAATATTCCACGGTCAGCTGTTAGTGGTATTATAACAAAGTGGAAGCAACTGGAAACAACAGCAACTCAGCCACGAAGTGGTAGGCCATGCAAAATGACAGAGTGGGGTCAGCGCATATTGAAGCTCGCAGAAGAGTCAATAGCTAAAGACCTCCAAACTTCATGTGGCCTTCAAATAAGCACAACAGTGCATGGAGAGCTTAATGGAATGGGTTTCCATGGCCGAGCAGTTGCATCCAAGCCTTACATCACCAAGTGCAATGCAAAGCGTCGGATGCAGTGGTGCAAAGCATGTCGCCACTGGACTCCAGAGCAGTGGAGAGGTGTTCTCTGGAGTTATCCGATGGACATGGCCGGTTTTGGCGGTTGCCAGGAGAACGGTACTTGCCTGACTGCATTCTGCCAAGTGTAAAGCTTGGCGTGGGGGGGGGGGGGGGGGGAGAATTCTGGTGTGGGGTTGTTTTTCAGGGGTTTGGATTGGCCCCTTAGTTCCAGTGAAAGGAACTTTTACGGTATCAGCATACCAAGACATTTTGGACAATTTCATGCTCCCAACTTTGTGAGAACAGTTTGGGGATGGCTCCTTCCTGTTAAAACATGACTGCGCACCAGTGCACAAAGCAAGGTCCATAAAGACATGGATGAGTGAGTTTTAGGGT